AATTCCTGCTCTGGTTTAAAATGGTTAATACATAATTTAGATTGTTTTAGGGCAATATTAAAGTAACTCCTGCCTTAAGTTCTGCTTATTCTTCAGTTCCTTAGCCATTCCAATAGTATTAGGCTACCAGCAAGATCCCTGGGATGTATGGGATGCCTTCCTAAACTAAAATAAAGGGTTTGTCAACACTACTGAACTGTTTTGTTTTCCAGGTCTGACTAAGGAACACATTTTTTATGGCCAGTTCATTCAACTATTGGCTAATCCTTCAATCTACAGAATCTGCTTTCTTTAAAAGCCTGAGATTAATCTAGCCCCAAATAAAGTGACACAGAGATTAAACACACCTTTAAATAATTTAGATCAAGAAGAGCATATCCAACTGAATTCATCACAGCAGATGACACACTAGCTTGTCATCTTTTCATGCAAGCTACATAACTGAACATTTATTAGAACAATTTTTAAATATGATGAGCACTTATTTTTACACATCAACGCCTAATAACAATGTAATTTTAATCTTATTGAAATAAAATAACAGAGCTGTAAACAAAATTTCTTTTATTATCACAGGGTAAACGATCTTTCTATATCTAACAAAGAAGGGTTCCCTAATTCCTTAGCACTTCCCTGACTGACCCCTTCCAGCACTTAACTACACTCACACTTGAAAAGCTTATCTAAACACCTATCCCACATGTCCTTTTCTGAAAACAACGCATAAAACTTGATTTGAAATTAAAAGGCTAAAATTCTGAAGGCAGAAAAAGCATAAAATTATCTTCACATTGCTCCCTATTTCTGTTTCACTAATCCTCATGATTGCAAATACAGTATAACCATTATTTACTCTTTGAGGAAAAAAGCCTTATACCTGTTGTTATTACATTGCAAGGATTCTACTGCCATTATATTGCAAAGGTTCCATATTGAAAGAGTTTTATACCTCCTTGATGATTCCCAAAGGCAGCTCCTCTAGGCACTGACTCGTCCTTCTTCTCACAACAGCCAACTGACTCCACTTCCCCTTCAACCAACCAACCCACTCTTTTATAACATTCTTCTCATTGGTTACAGCTGTGGCCTGTTAAAGTCAGGCCTGTTCCCAGTCTCTAATAATTGGCTCAGCTGCAACTCCTTAAGGGGTAAGATTACTTTCTATACTACCTTTATTTTCTTATATTGTATCCCCCTATATATACCACCTTAAATAGGAAAACCAAGTTAACTGTCAACTACCTAACTAAATCTGTTCAGCAACATGGATTCCTCAAAATTTTGATATTTTTAAAGAAAGATATAAAAATTGTAGCTAAACAACTGCATCTAATTGTTCTCTTTAACTTGAATAGAACTTTTTTTATTGGCAGTAGCCAGTTTCATAGATGTGAGCAGACACCTTTGATTCAATGAATATAACATTACTTAGTAAGTATTCAGAAAGGAATAGAGCTGCCACAATGCACAGTAATCATAAAGTAAGGTACAAGGCACAAATAGGTATTAGGTCTTTAAAAATATTAACACAGTTGTGGATCCTAACATTGTTCATCATTTTCTACTGCTTTGGGTAGATTTCTTGTACAGTCACGAGGCAAGTATTTCTCTATTCTAGCTGGAATATGCTAGGGCTTTTCTTTTCAACACCTTCAAGATTTTTTTTGAGGACAGAATAAGGGAATTATTCTTATCCCTATAAAAAGAGAACAGTTAGCATGCAGTTAAAGTAATATTTATAATCAAGACTTTATCTCTATAATGAACTAATGTAGGAAATTAGTGGGGGGTTTTAAAATACAAGACCAATGGAAGGACAAGCCTGAAAGCAGTGGTCATGCAACTTGTTGACAACTTTTGCAGGCTCAAACAGCTCTGAAATACAAGATTTATCTAGAGGGAAAAGCTGCTTGTTTTTGTCTTTATTGAATACTATATGAGTATAAAAGCAAGATATGGATTTGAAAGTGTTAAGAGGAACATTAATATAAATTGGCATAGATACACTGAAGTGTGACATTTTTCTCCTTTTAGTTACATTGTTCTCAGAGCATTTTAGTCAAATTAGGGAGGAGTAACAAAACTGAAGGGACTGTGTTCATAGGGTGTGGCTTAACTTTATTCATGTATACCCTGAAGGGAGTGTAAAAACTCAAGACTTATTCCTCTTGCAATTCTGCCTCTTAGAGATTCTAGTCTAAAGAAATTGAGCACTCTGCTGTCAAGGTAAAGGCTATCTCCCTTGAAGAAGAAAAATGTATGGCCGAGACATTCCAGCAGAATGAGGAGGGAGATGAAAAAATCTGCCAAGAAAAGCCAACTCGCAATAGAAAGTACCTCCCTGGTGAGGCAGAACAGAAAAGTGAAACAGATCTCAGAATTTCTGACCTTTACTGTGTGTCAATAACATGTTGCAAAGTTTGGTAAAGAAGAATGCAAATTATCCCTTCCTACCCAGAGAGACAAACTAGTGGGATTTTCAGATTAGTATCCATTAATGTATTTTCTCCCCTTTTTTCATTTCAGATCTAGAATAAAGAAAAGTTACAGCTCCCCAGTGCATATAGACAATACTCTTTACAAGGAACAGACAATATTTTGTTCCATTAGAGTGCTTAGCACATTGATTCTCAGTTTGTGGTACTACAAATACCCTTCATCCTAAAAGTTCATCTAAATGTTGAAACACTGACATGAAACTAAAAGAAACTGCACTGCCTAATGCTGAAAGTCGCCTAACAGTGTCTGGTATCAAATAGCTTTCATTGAGTGCCAGAGGATTTTAGAACTGTCAGAGGCAAGCTGGAATACTTTCCTCAAACTCTTTTGACCCCTGCTGATCAATCTTCAGTGAGTTTCTGATCCAGGGAACTTAGCAATATATCCCATTTTGTAATGTAGGCATGCCACATGTGAAAAAATGTTGCTCATTTTTTCATTTTGGACTGGCTACCTCCATACCACTACTTCTATCAAAACACACACCTTTTCACATCACTTCTTAATTTACAATCCCTATTATATTCTCATGGAGCTGCCTCTTTCCCATCCAGAAGAGTCCCAGACAATTAATCTGTTCCTCAGCTGTGTTGTCATGATACAGCTTTGACCCTCCGATTGGAGCCTTTTCCTAGCTTTGCTGTCTTTTTGTAACAGAGCAGACCAGAATTTTGCACTATGTTGACCTAACTGCAATTCAATTTACACAGTGTAAAATTGTTTTGTTTTGTTTTTTATCTCCTACTGAGTCATGCTCAGCACTTTTGTGACCTGCTGCTGAACAGTGAGCTGAGGTTTCCATAAAATTACTAGGTAACTTCCAAATCACTTTCCTACATAGTAATCCCTACTTCCTACTTCAGAGGACTCAGCTGCAGGTAAAGTGAAATCTAAGTATTATTTTATATTTTATATTTACATTGTTTTAGCAAAATGTTTAAATATGTTTTCTATTTTATCAGACATAGTCTGATGCTTTTAGCACTTTCCATTTTTGGGTTTTTTTTTTGAGAAAACAACATACCTGCAAATATCATGTTCCCATTTAGGCCTCTTTAACTGACCTCTTCTGTAACTCTTGAGCAGCAGAGTCCTGCTCTTCTTTAGCAGTGTGTATTGAGGACATTGCTGATTTATTCCTTTACTCTTAATTATTCAATTTTCTAAACAGCAGTGTGGATGTCCCAATCCACGGATGGCTACTCTTTGACCTGTGCATCACTGATTTTAAAGAAGATTTAATGAGAGACTTTGCACCTGTACTTGTTTACCTAAGGAAGTGTCCAGCAGCATTACTGACCACGAGGCATGAGCTCTCTCTGTAGGTAACTACTCACACTGCTCAGTGCTTTTACAGTCTAATCTCCTCCTGACCTGTAAGCTTCTTTTACAGGCTTCCTATTTAGATAATGAAATTATGTACAGGTTTTATTGTTCTACATCTTTGACTTACGTATTGCATTTTTTTTCCACATTTGTCCATGTCTGTCTTTTTGACACAAAATACTAATTCACTAATAAGGACACGTTTTTTTTGTTTTTTTTCCTTGTGAGTTCTCTAATTTCTCAATGAAAAAATAATTTCTATTTCCCAATCAAACAGGGATCCAATATTCACACTAAAATTTGAAATTTTATTTTGGATTTGTAATTTTGGTACCATCTTAAGTATGGCTACCAGCAGAATGAGAGATTTTGCTGTATACAGTCTTAATTCTCAAAGGACTTAGTTCTTGGCCCTTGGGGCAGACATTCAGTTTCAGGAGAGCCTAGATTACTGGTTGCTTATTTAATTTCAATTTATAGCATGGCACCAGTTTTCCACAAAACAAACACTTTGTTATCTCCACTGTCTCAACAGCCTCACTTAAAACCAGATATTCTAGTATTCAAGTGTTTTTTTTAGACTGAGATTTCCACAGAAATATATACACAGTGGGTTGAGTTTCCAGTTTCACGGGAACTTTAGTTAACTGCTTCTTGCTGTTTATTTTCATGAACTTCCATCCTATCCTTTTGCCAAAGTCTATTTATCATTCATACTAACATTTCCCTTTTTTCAAATCTACTTTTCCTGAGTTCATGGACTTTAAATGCCTACTTCTTTCATTTTGAAAAAACATGGTGTGACAGAAGCCTGGTTTCATTCTCTGCACATACTCTTATTCCTAATGGACCTATCTGGTTTTATTCCCTTGGCACTATTTGCACGGTCATGCAATGGAACTGCTTCCTTCTCTCCCTCTCTTCTCTTCATGGGTCTGGAAAGCTCCCACATGACAGCCACAGTCTTTCAGCCTAACACAGGGCTGAAGTAAAATCTTTATTTCAAAGGGAAAACATATTTTTAATAGTGGAAAGAAGAAGGAAGGAAAAAACAGGCATAAACCTCATCTTTCTGTTCAATGCTGCTGCATTAAAGAGCCAGGAATAGAAAGGAAATTTGTGAAACCATTTCAGTCAGAAATCTTTTTTTTTGACAAATGTACAGGAAACATTAATCTGAGGAGTTGAGGTTCTTTTATTTTACACCTAATACAATTCAAATTTAAAGGATTACTTGCACAAAAAAATAAACACATTTGGTATAAAAATTTATCGTCACTTTAACACCTTTTTTTCTTCTTATGGCCTCCGCCTTCTCTGGAGCAGAAACATAGAAAGACTAATGGCACAAGTTTGTTGTATTCTACAGCATTTTTTGTCTTTACATACTCAAGTACCCTAAAGGACAACAGCCCGCTGTATACAAGAACCATTTTCTTCAGCCTGCTGAATTAAGTTTCATAAAGAACCAAAGCTATAAAGGCATTTTAAAAACCACTGTCTCTTTTTCCTTTCAGAAGCACTGACTTTTTGCACTATTAATATACATAGTGTTACGTAACAGCTCTTGAGTACAGTACATGCAGCAGAATATATCTGTTGTATATAAAACATACATTTAAAATCTTGACTTATCGGAATTTTTGGAAGATTGAGTACTTGTAGAATGCCCACTGCTTAGAGAAAATGGTTTGATAGTACAAATATCTGCATATGCTGGCCACTGGAACAATCCAAGGCTCACTGGAATAGTATCTGTAGCACATCAAGGTGCATAAATAATTTACCTACAATATTAAAACACGACTTATCAAAACCAATAGTTCAAGATCTTATGACTGGGGGCTGGAACTAGAAGATCTTTACGGTCCCTTCCAACCATACCATTCTATGATTGCTATGTTACTCTTCAGTGGTTGCAAGGAAGTGTGCTGAGAGTTGCCCCTCCCCTCCCAAGTCCTTTATAAAAGCTTTATTATGCAATTTTTTTCCAGATGAACAAACTTATTTATGTCTGCTGCCTCTTCTCTTCATTGCAGCTGTACACTGTGGACAGTACCATTTCCCTTTTGGTGCTTCTGTCAGTCCAACACATCCATAGTGGAACCACTCAATTGGGCACTATAAAAAGAGAGGGTTTGTGAATTGGGTTTTTTTTCAAAATGCATATCACAAATACAATTCTATGAAAATGGAACATGAGTAGAAAGTGTAGATTCTGCATTTCACACCAGTCACTGGACAAAAAAAGGAGAGGGGAAGATCTGCAACATACACTCAGTACACTAAGAAAAATGGTAAAAATTCTAGGAGTCATATATGGACTCACATTACAGAGCAAAATTAGTATACTGTGCTTTGAAATACTTAGTTTGACAAAGAAATCTTATCACTCACTTCTGTTTAAATGTAGTTATCTCAGTAAATACATTATTATATTCAACTGTTCTTTGAAAACTTTTTTATTTGAAAAGGACAACTCTTATTGGTAGTGAAATAGCTGTAAAATTCACAGAAATAAAGGATATTTTGAAGCAGCACATTTTTGAACCTAGCAAAGGCTGCAAGTTTCTAAAAGAATCTAAGCCATGTGGAGACCTGAGACGTTTCCTGAAGGATGGTTCAAATCATACGCACTTAGCTCTAAAAAACTCTACTCAAAAACAAACTCTAAAAAAAAAGCAACTCCTACATGCAATAGTTATATGCATAAGCCTCTCATGAGTCTTTAGAACTTTGTTACTTACATCTTGGTTATCACAGCCTACCATTTCACCATAGGACACCTAGTAAAATAAGAAAAAAATCCTGTTAGCAATCACATTTTGAAAGGGCCAACATTCAAATTTCTTCCTTTGAGAGTTTTTCCATTAATAGCAGTAATAACATTTTCATTTTACTTTTGTTACACAACCCAAACACCATCATGTTCATAGTGAATTGATTTTCCAAAACTGTTTATGCAAAAGGAGATACATCTGCATTTTTCAGATTGGGTAAAAAACAAAATTTACTGGAAACCCTCTCAATATTTTTTTAAATTTAATTATTCCTGAAGTCTCCATTACAAGATTTAAAACTCTCCAAGGATATCACATCACTTAAAAAACTGACTATTTTTAGCTTCAACAGTTCATTATTCACACCACCAGTAAGTAAATAAAAACAGATCAGAAGTTCGAGAGTAAAAATACAGTTTTTTCAAAATTAGCATTCAGAGAAGGAAGTTCAGCTACATCAAAACAGCAGCTGTAGTTGTATTTCAGTTTGGAGGCCATCCTTACCTGATTGCAAATACAGTAACGTGGCTCATTTGGATCATAGGTCCAATCAACCTGGCTGTTAGAATCAGACTCTGGTATTACTGCTGTTTGCTGAGACAGTTCTTGTGCCAGCGCAGATGAAGAAGAACATGATGACAGAGAGGAAGAAGAAGATGATGATGAGGACTGCTGACTTGAGGATTTGTTGTTGCTTCTGAGGAAGAGTAAAAAGAAAAAAGGAAAAAAAGTGCATAGATGATTTATTTTCTGCCAAGTTAAAGAATCACTAAACAAGTACTTTGTTGTCTCTGAACTGCTGCAGTATGTAAATCCCAAAGCTATCATTCACCATCACATTTCATTCAACCACTGCAAGCACTGGAATGCACCCACTGTATGCTCTTGGAAAAGGAAACAAGTCACACCAGCTTACAAGTGCAGGAATGTGCTGCTCCAATCAATGGAATTCAACAGCTCTAAACTGTCTAGCGGCTTTAACAAATGCTCTTCTTCACAAAGTTTTCCATCAATAACTTTGGTGTCAAGTCCTTATAAAAACTGTTACCAATAAAACAGGAATTTACATATAAATAATGTTGTATGTCATGTGCAATAGATAACTACTTTGAAGATGACTGATTCTCTGTTAATCTCCACTCAAGCATCAGCAATCACTCCATAGGAATGGTGCCAGAATAAAATTTCTCTGCTTTTGCTTATAGGTCAGACCTGACACCCAAGATATTCATAGATGAAAAATGCTTCTCAAACAGCATTATTAACTGAGTTGTGAATACACACAAATTTGAATGAAGAAAAAAAAATCAAGACAATTTAAAAGGATGGGTATTTTGAGATAAATTCTTTCAAGTACAAGTTCTGATTGTTGAACGTGTTGTGACGTTGTGTTGTTAAAAATATTTTAAAACTTCATTCAGAAATGAAATTCATTCCTTGTTCTACACGGTCAGTCATTAGAAAGTGTCATGTTTACTTGGCATCAGACATCTCCAGGTTATTTCAAAACCATTTACAAACCATTGCACAGTAATTCCCAACAATTGCTGTTAAATCAATCCTCTCCAAAACACACAAAAGTGAGGGAAGAAAATTGATTCTATCTCAGATAAAAATGCAGATCAATAGAGTTTGCTTAAAGAAAAAGAAGTGGAAGAACTAAAGAACACAGCCCTGCACAAAAAATGGCCAAGAGGCAGTAACTACCTTCTGCTGATTCCCTCCCACAGATATTAAATACAATGTATTCTATTACAGCCCATGAACTTTTTAAAAAATAGCTCATCTGCCTTCAAATTTATAATTACAGTCAACAAGTAAGAAAACCTACTTGCTTTTTCTGCCACTTCGTGAATCTGTGGTTGATGAACTTAACGTCTGAGTTAATGTCGATGCCAGAGCTGATGATGAATATCCAGCTGAATCTCTGGACAATGAAAATTCTCTTCCAAGCTGAAAATCATTGTTCTTAAAGGCTTCATAGCTGGCTTTTAGACTGGATGTTCGTCTTCCCTCCTTCATCTAAAAGGAATGCTGATGTTGTATCAGATTACACAGTAAAGCTACTACATAAGGCTGCTAACTGCTAATGATATGTACAGGTTCACTTGTTACCTTGTTAATGAAATTATGTGCAGAAAGCAGTGAAATGTGTGAGAACATCTTCCAGGAAAAGTCAAAATAAGCTGTCCCTGTAGGCCAGCTAAACAGGATGAAACTGTCGCATAATAATAAAATTCTAATATAAGAACTGAATCACATCAGCTGAAAGCGATCATGGGAATTCAGATTAAAAAACAACAAACAAAACCAGTACTAGCCTTTTTTCTTAATCATAAGCAGATGGGATGATGACAAGAATAGTTTGACATTACCTGTGCTGTGGCTTGCACTGCTTGAGCTGCTGCCATGGTAATTGCACCGGCCCCGGATCCTGAAGATAATGAGCCCAGGTTATATGATGCCAATGGTTGAGAAGAGTTTGTATTGTATGCATTGTTTGAAGAGGATGATGAATTACTGTTTCGACACCCTTGATGAACAGAACACATTTATGAAATTTAAAATGAAACTAAATTCCTTTGCATTTTAAGAAGAGTTATATGATAGCCAGTGAAAGAGTAGGAACTCCGTTTACGCATCAGAGCAGTCTAACCATATGGAAAAAAGGCTTTAAAAGTAATTAGACACAGACAGTATTCGTTGATGGGGAAAAAAAAGAGAAGTTTGTTCCCTATCTGTCCTCATGTGCAAGGAGTCCTTTTAGAAAGAGAGCTCTCACTATGATGCTCAGCTATCAAACAACAGATACAGCTGCCATACCTATGCCTATATTGAAACAATTCTCACTACTATAATCATCAAGAAGAAGGTAAGAATGATTACACACCTATACTGTTTCTGAAGTAAAACTTTGAACAATCTTAATTCTAAAAACTATAGATCAGTTTTAATGCAAAACAATTTCCAGGGTCATCTGCAGAATGACAGCTGCCCAAATATAACTACATTTTATTTGCAGCCTCAAGTGAAGCTTCTTCAAAAGAAAACTGAAATAGACATGACTGAAATGACTTAAAACTGACTTAAAACATGACTGAGGTATCTGATTTACTATATAACTCCTTAGTCTTTTATTTTTAGAAAAGAAACTATGAAACACCTTAATATTGAGACTAGGCAGAAAGGTTTAGGTTTTTTTTAGTCACTATATACAAAAAGACTTTTCTTTTGACATAGACAACACATGAAAAAAATTTATTTTCGGACCAACTCTTAAAAAAAGGTGTGAAAATTCTTTTCCCTTACTTTGGAAACTGTTGTCTGCATTTTCTTCCCAAAAATAATGCATTCATCTCTTATATTTGTACTACTAGCTGAATGAAACTGTACTATTATCTTCTTCAAAGTGTAAATAAGAAGAAACAGCCATCATACAGCTATTAAATGACAACAAAGCAGACACACTTCATGGAAAACACAGATGACTAAGAATGCCTGTAATTTCTCATGTTTCAAGTTACTGAAAATCCCAGGGAAAGGGGTATCAATCTCTGATTGAGGACTGGCTGAATGACAGATCCCAGAAGGTCTTTATTGATGGCACAGAAATTCCACAATGGAAAGTGGAATTCCTCTCCTCCTCCAGTGCACCTGGAGAGGAATAACCCCATGCAACAGCAGAGGCTGTGGGCTGACCTGCTGAAAAGCCACCTTGTGGAGAAGGACCTCATGGTCCTGGTGAACAACAAACTGTCCCTGAGCCAGCAGTGTTCTCTGGGGGCTAAGAAGGCCAATGGTGTCCTGGGGAGCATTAGGAAAAGCATGGCCAGAAGGTTGAGGGAGGTGATCCTGCCCCTCACTCAGCCCTAGCAAAGCTGCATCTGGAGTGCTGTGTCCTGTTCTGGGCTGCTCAGTGCAAGAGACATGGAGCTCCTGCAGTGGGTCCAGTGGAGTGAAGAAAAGGTGATTAAGGTACTGGAGCACCTCCCTTATGAGGAAAGGCTGAGGGAGGGAGCTGGGCCTGTTCAGCCTCGAGAAGAGATGACTGAGAGGGGACCCCATCTCTGGCTGTGAGCATCTCAAGGGAGCAGGACAAGGGGATGGAGCCAGGGCTCTGCTTGTGGTTCCAAGCAATGGGACAAGAGGCAACAGACAGGACCTGATGCACAGGAAACTCCACCTGAATATAAGGAAGAACTTCTGTACTGTGCAGGTGGCTACACACAGGACAGGTTGCATAGGAACAGGCTGTCCAGAGAGGCTATGGAGTCTCCCTCACTGGAGATATTCAAAAGCTGTCTGGACACAACCCTGTGCCATGTGCTCTGGGATGGCCCTGCTGGAGCAGGGAGGCTGCACCAGATGACCCACTGGGGTCCCTTTCAACCTTACCTATTCCATGATTCTGTGATTTCAGAAGACTAACTCACAAATATAATTAAGTTTCTCTTCTGACTAAAAAGCAATGAAATGAAAGACAATTAGGATTACCTGGTGTGTTTTCTTTAGAAGCATCTGATGTCAGGGTAGATAGAAGAGCTTCAGATTTAAACTTCTTTTCAGGAACATGATCTGTTGTACTATGGTGAGATGGATTGTGTTTCCTTTCTAAATGAAATAAATTAAAAGAAATTTAAAATCTATTCAGCTTTAAAGTCAAATTATGCTAGCACTTTCAACCAATTCCCACCAGCAAAACCTATTTTATTCTTGCACTTCTTAACAGATATGATTAGTGTTTATTATGCTTTGTTTTCTCCTTGCAATGATGGAGGGGAAAAACGTTCTAAACCATCTTTTTCCTCATACTTCTCAACAAAAAAAAAACCCCAAAGGAAACATAAACAGTGGCCATGTTTTTAAGTTTCAAATACTTACTCTCTACTGGAGTGTGAGAATGGGAGTGATGGTTATTCACAGGCTGTGCTGGTGTATCCAGCTCCAGAGACCCTAAGAGGGAGGTAAGAAGGACGCAAAAATTGAGAGTTGGCAATGGTTTAACTTTTACATACTAAAGGGATTTTTAAAATATTAACCAAATCACAATGCAGTTATATTTATTTTAATCAGAAGAATTTTTGCTGGCGTTGAAACCATTTCTACAGTACAGCCACAAACCAGTGAGATTAGTTCTCAAATAAAAATTGGTGACTGCTTGTTGAAATCAAGAACTTAAAATCAAGGCAAATAAGAAGAACCAAGAACATTGCCCTCACCAAGCCACTTAGTCAAATGAATTGCAGAATGGCTGCACCAAAAGTACAGACCATCTATACCAGTATAAACTGAAGACTGAACAATGTAAACTGTATAAACAAGGCATCTTGTTCCATTGAGTCTACCTTGTCACATTCAGTCAAAACTCAAGAAAATAGCAGTTTCATCTTTAAAGAAGATTTTAACATTCAAAAGAAATGGCTGCAGATCATCCAGATTTTCTTAACATCCAAAATACACAGAGCAACAATACAAATAAAAACAAAACAAAAAACCCCACAAAACAACAAAACAACAACAAATCCCACCCTCATCCTCCCCATCCCCCCCAAAGGAAAAGGTCAGACAGGCATAAATCCAAGTATACGTCTAAGAATAATATTTCTGGTAAGATGAGGCTAATTAATCACACCATAGGAGAGACTTTGGCTATAAATTTGGAACAATATACAATATTTTGTTCTCCAAACTCTAACAGAAAGATTTTTAAGTAGTTGCAATACCTACCAACTTGCATTCACACAGACGACAAAACAAGAACGCAATTCACATTCATTTTTCAAAATCTGTATCCTCAGCATTTCTTTACCTCTTCCAGTGCTTTCAAAAAGCACTGAAATACATGAGTAATACATAAATATTACAAAAGTTTAATATAATTATTCTAGAAGAGGATCAAAGCATAAGGAGCTATTTTGGCTGAGAGAACTTCAATCAGGTTATGAACTTGCCCAAAGGCTGCCCTCTGGTGGGACTTCAACCTTATGTATTTACTTACTCTGAAAGCTAAAAATGTTAAGTCTTCTACTTTTAGCTTTATTTAAAAACAAACAAGGAAACAAAACCCTCAAACAGAACAAACCTTAAAGATGCAACATGCAATACAGTGCTTCTCTATTTTGATTTCTTGAAATCCTGTCTAGCAACCTCTCCAAACATGTGGTTCTACAGAAGGTAGCACTGCATCCTAAAACCAACTGGGATTTAAACTAAAGTAAACTAGTCTTTTTCTGTAATTGCTAGTTAATGAACAGCATTTAATTTAGAGTTTTCTTATATTGTGCCTGTTATTTGTAATAGCAATTACAAATAAAATAGCCCCAAACTCCCAGCTTATACAACTCAGCCACAAAAAGTTCCAAGAAAGAATGCTTGTTCCTAATATCCACAAGTGACTTAAGTAAATTTTCACTACCTTTGGCTATGAGGACAGCCACTGACTCCATAATCACAGCAGTTACATCAACTCAGAAATTTATCACATTTGAATTTGATGTCTAAATGCTGATACATACAGAAAAGACAGCTTGGTGTAGATTCTTCTACACCAAGCTGGCAAAAAAGCTGTAACTTTACATTTTTATTCACATTCCAAATACCAGCATGGCTGTATTTAACATGCAGGTTTCTTACATAAAATGTTTTTCCTTCACTGGCCCATTACAGAACAACCCATTCTTGCCCCTTTAAAATAGAAAACCACCAAGTACATGGGAAACTAAAATAATGAACCTCCTTAGTTTGGTGGCAATCAGTTCAAGGAAGAAATGTTACCCTTGCAACTGGGTAGGTGGAATGCTTAGGCCAAAGTACTTGGCTCAATACCTACAACCATTAAAAACAGGTATAAAGAATTATGTATCTTACTGTAGCAATTCACAAGGACAACAGTTGTGTGAAATTATTCTACTTACTCAAATGTATTTTGATTTTACTGGTATAAATCGAGGTTGAAACTAAAATCTGAGAGTGGGTTAAACTAAAATTTCAAAGTGGGTTAAAACGTGGGTGAAAATACTGGCAGCCACTAACAAGTGTATGATAGTTTAATTCTGGAAATTGACAGAAAGTCTGTCAAGTTCTTAAAGAAAAACATGCATACTTACGTCTTTCTAATATTTCTGTAATTCCAGCATTATCTGCTTCAAGTTCCATTTTAAATTTAGCAAGTTCCTGGTCCAATTTTCTCAAGTGACGGTCTACCTGTTTGTTAGATAAAGCAGAAATAAATAGCATCCAGTTCTGGAACATGAATATCTACATCCTTCATCTCAGGCCTGCTAAGTATTTCCCTTCCAGCAGTTTTGTACCATGCAGCACTAAGCAAAATAATGCACAAAAGGGATCTTCTTGGTCACCTCCATTTATCTCCCTCAGAAGAGACACTGTTGTTAACACCAAAATAGCACAGGGAAAGCTCCAAGACACTTCTTTTCAGAAATAAAGATGAAGAAAACTTGGAGGTGCTCTAGTTATGAAAACTTAATAAGGAAGAGAAAGAACAGTAAATGACATGGACTTTAGTAGAAATTGGGCTGCTTTGGGGAAATTGCAAGTTCTGAACTGAAACCTGTGTGCAATTTTTGTGCCACTATAAGCACCAATAAATTTGGTGTATTGAGTCTCAAATGAAAGTGGAGACTCCTGTGCATTTCAGCAAACTATGATGTGCTGTTGGGTATTGAAAATTAATTAAAAAAAAAAATCTCAACTCACTATCGTGAAAAGAAAGACTACATTCCAAATGCTTTCTACATCTGTAATCACACAGCAAAATTTACCCATCTTTATAAAAACTGGGAGGTTTTTCCAGTTATCAGCTGAGCAAAAGAGAAGAGGCAGTTCCAACTTCTAGAACAAACTTTTGGCTAGTTGTAGTGGAACTAAAGCAGTTGTTTTATGTCTCCTATATTTGAGTGTAGTCTGACTTGCAGGTTCTGTTCTCTTGAGAAATGTAAAATAAATAAACCTTAATCACATGCCATCCCTCTCTGGGTCTGGCCATCCATCCCATTTTTCACCCAATGAAAAAATGCCCAAGGTGTTAGCAGCCAGTTTCTCCAGGAGAGTTCTGTAGGAAACAGTGTCCAAGGCTTTACTGAAGTCCAGGTAGACAACATCCATAGCCTTTCCCTCATGTACGAAGCAGGTCATTTCATCACTGAAGATCAGGTCAGCCAAGCAAGACCTGCCTCTCCTTCACCCGCCCTGCCTGGGCCCGATCCCCTGGCTGTCCCGTTGGTGCTGTGTCATGACACTCAGGATGATCTGCTCCATGACCCTCCCCAGCACGGTCAGGCTGACAGGCCCTTACTTCCCTAGATGCTCTTTCTAACCCTTCTTGTACATGGGCATTACATTGCTCATTTCCAGTCAATTGGGACCTCTGGGAAACACCCAAGAGTGGCTCAGTGACCTTTTCCACTATCTCCCTCAGTGGGGAGGATCCCATCACAGCCCCAGACTCGTGTGTGTCTCAGTGGCACAGCAGGTTGTTGACTCCCTTGAGTTATGGGGACTTCATTCTGCCCCCCACCCACTTGCTCCAGCTCTGGGGGCTGGGTATTCTGAGAACAACTGGGCTTGCTGTTAAATATTGTGCAGCAATGAAGGCATTAAGTACCTCTGCCTTTTCTTCATCCTCCATCACTATGTTTATCTCTGTATCCAGTAAAGGATGGAGATTTTTCCACAGCCCTTCTTTTATTGCTGATATATTTTTTTAAATGTTTTTCATCGTTCACAACAGTAACCAGATAAACATGGGCTTTGGCACTTCTAATATATCTCCCCACACAACCTCATGAAATTCTTGCAGTCTTCTCAAGTTGCCTGCCCATTCTTCCCAAGGTGATACACTCTCTTTTTTCCCCCAAATTGAAGCCAAAGCTCTGTATTTAGCTGGGCTGGTCTTCTTCCCTGCTGGCTTCTCTTTTGGCACATGGGGATGGGCTGCTCCTATACATTTAAGATTTCCTTCTTGAAGAATGCCCAGCCTTCCTGGACTCCTCAACACTGTATGACAAAGGATTCTCTCAACCAGTCTCCTAAACAGGCTGAAACCATGCATTAAAATCTTAGGATTTCTAATACTATTTCTCTGATTTATATTTAAGTGACACTTACTATCCAAAACTCTTTAAAGTCAATAAAATATAAAATGTTTCTTTCATCAGCAAAACATCTGTATGCAGACAACATAAAAGTACAGCACACTGCAGCATGACTGCAGTGCTTATCAAAATGCTTAGAACTTCCCAGGGCATAAATTTAGGTAATTCGCCACAACTCTTGTGTCCACTTACCAGATCATATATTTGATTAGCCAGTTGCACTTTTTCATCTGCATCTTCCAAAGCTTTATAATAATCCTGTTATGAAGAGAATTAAAAAAAAAAAATTAATGTAACAGAATTAATTTCAGTAAGTTTAAGCTGCTGTTATGAAGCATAAAATGTAAATCAAAAGGACAAATTTAAGTCAGTTTTCAGAAAGACTGAAATTTTTCTGTAAACAACAATCATCTGCATTTTAAATGAGATATATAAATCAAATTATTTTCCCTGTGTTAAAAAAAGCCACATTACAAGAAGGAGACACTTCCTACTGCAAGAAATGCTACAAGAAATTAAACAATCTTGGATTTATTTTATATTACTCAGCATCATGTTATGGACTTAAAATAAGAGCATGTCTTTTATTTCAGGACCACCACAAATCCTACTGCTCTTCAAAATGATGCTGAAGTACTCTGTGGGGAAGCCTTTCCAGCATTCTAGTTAAACAGAGATAATATTGTATATAATTTAAATTGCTTTAAAATAAGTTTCTCTAACTCATGAGTGCATTCTAAATAATTTGACTAAAACAATCTAGAAGTCTCCTCTACCTATGAGAATTCAGACAAAAGTTTAAAAAAAGTATGTTTTCAAATGCTTGTACTTTAGAGTTGAACAGATTTTACTGCCTTTTAATTCTCAACTTCCACTGAATAGTAACTTCTGTGAAAACTATTGAAGTTTTGATTCAACGAAAGTCAACAACAATTTTTCATTTATTCCAGTGGAGTCAGAGCTCTGACCTTTTTTCTCTTCAGATTTTAAAAACCTATTTGCATTAATTAAAGAACAACCTTTACCCAAATTAGGGGCTGAAATAGCCACTGTAGGAGATTACAAAGGGGTTTCTCCTGACAAAATGATGGGCTACGTTGCTAAAAATACCATCACCAATGCTCAAGTATTGAAGGACAAAACAGAACACATTCATATTCATGTTCTTACTCCTCCCTCTCTCAAGCTAAACAGACCATATGTATAATGTGTAGAAGGACATTGGCAGAAAATCACAGGAAATGTTGAATCTAAGCTTGAAAAATATCCTCTAAAAGAAAGCACATTAACTTGGGCAACTTCACGTCACACAAACAAAACCAAGAAAATCTGAGCTCCAAACTTGGGAGCTCAGGCTTCCTCACCATTTCAATTACACTTTTTTTAAATGTTAGCAAGTGCTCTGTAAAACTTCAGAGAAATTCTTGATCAAAGAATCCTTCCACTCACTTTCCTCCTCCATGGTAGTTCCATCCACCTCTATGAAAGCCCAAGGGAAGGCACAGTTCTCAACACTTAAATCTCCCATCAATCATAAACTATTTTTTCCTAAGGTTGTCTTAGTTTGCAAAAGAAAAATCTGACCCACTCTTATGATATCCTTACTTTTTTGATTGATGTCATTTGTTCTTCTCTCCATTCAGGTTTGTTTTTCTTTGCATTCATAAAAAATTCATTTACCCTCTGCTCAAGCTGATCCATTGCATCTGTAGCATAGGGAAAGATTGAAACAAATGTTATTTTCTCATGTACATAAACATTAGAAAATAAGGGGAAATTTTTTCTCAAACAAACTTGACAGGACTGAGGTGCAAACTATTAGAGAGGAAAAAAAAGAAAAAACCAAAACAACCAAGCAACAGTGCACAGCGGAGGGAAATATTTACCTTAATTTCCAAGAAGCAGAATTGCATTCTGGTAGGATTCTCATCAAGGTTCTTGTGCTCTCCAGTATGGGACAGGCAGGACTCCAAGTTCTAAAGGTTTTTTGTCCCTAAGAGCAGTGGTAGTGACTTAAAGCACGACCCAAACTCCTCACCCAGGGCTCTAGACTGCTGACTTTGGAACATTCTAGCCAGTTACAAACTGAGCAGGAAACAAAATGTTCTCCTAAGAGAAACAGTCAAATACAAAACCAAATAATTGAAAAAAATTAGTGTCTCAAAAAGGTAGACCAACTGAAGAGCAAGCCCTGCCTTTAAGTGCAGGGCCTCTCCACTGTTTGCTAGGAAGTGGCAGGGCAAATTGAAAGCACTCACAAATTATTCCCTCCACCCCCCAGAGGAGTAAATGCACTGATGAACTATTATTTGGAGAGGATTCTCACTTTCATGAAGTTGAGAAATATCATAAGGGGGGGAAAAATAAAACCACCCATTTTCTAACATTAACTATCTCTGGAAAGGAAAATGTCAATCACAAGCTATTCATTTTTCATTGTTTATTGAGACATGAACAGGGATTCCCTTCCCTTTCCCCTCCACCCTTCTCCCACTGAGTTTACTATTGCAACAGCTGGACACTTGTGCACCCAACAGCTTGCACATTTCCAAAAACATGCAGCTGCCTCAGTCAAACGTGCCTGGACAGCCTTGCTAGTGCCAGGATAGATGACAGTAGTTAAGTTTTTTTCCCAGCATTCTCAGTGACATTTTGCCCAGCTATCAGTTTTAAATTAAATGTGACAATGCACGAATCACCTACAAACTTCAGGCTCTGGGTGCAAAACACCTAAGAAACTTTCCAGAAACCACCATTACAACTGGATCACATCTTGCCAAAACAAAATGCAAATTAATTAATTATTTATTAATTAATTATTAATTATTATAATTATTATTATAATTAATTATTAGTTCAAGAAGCTCATGAAAGCCTAAGTATGATTTACTCTGAAAATCCAAGAGGCCAAGGGTCTTCCCAACTCTGTGAAAATTCACAGCTAGAACTGTTTATATAAATATACAAAAATCATTCATACTCAATGATCGAAAATATTAATCAATTGTCTTTATACTGGGAACATTCAGGAACAAAACCAACAGGAATCTAACAACTGACTGGACAGAGCACTATTAATCCCAAGCCATAACAGCTGGGACATAAGTTCACATCAACTTTATTTAGACCCAGACAAAGTAGTCAAACAGCTCTGGAGTACAACAGGCTAAAGCTGGAGAACCTGAACCATGAACATTTTCCACTTGCACCATGCAGAGAACATTAAGAAGCCTGAGAGGCAAGCAAGCACACACTTTATATGGAGCCTTCTAAAATCTTTGAGCAAATGGCTCTAACTTGGTCCAAAAAACCAACAGACAAAATATTCTATCTCCTATCCTCTACCTCCACAAACACTTTAAGTGTTATTCCAGTGGCTCCATAAAGAAGAAAATATTTAAAAAGTATCTTCCCTCTTCACTTTTAATTGAGGGCATGTTATCAGTCTGTGTGAACCCACCTAGGGGAAAATTTCCACAGAAACTTGGTCTCTCCTGAAAGAGCAGAAAAGGCAAAGGCAAGTTCAGGTCTGATCTACCAAATCAGATGGAAAGTTCTCTCTGCTACACCAACTTCATCCATTTTTTCTTGTGATAATATATTCTGAGATACTCTTTTCTTAGATCAAATTTCCCAAGAGAGTTGCCAAAACTTCTATGAGAACAGAGTCCTTTTTCCAGATACTGACATTTTACCATGAAATCCTGATAACCCATGATTTTAACTTAAAACAGAGAAATGAATTTTATGCTTCATGTGGAGCTCAGTTAAAGCTCAAGAGTCAAGCCCAATTCAGACGATCTTTGCTTTTTCCACAACAATCTTATCAGAATATACAGGAGACAGACCCAGTTTATTGTTTCTTCCAACTACAAACAGCAGGAGCTGCCTCATTAGGAGTCAGTGTGGTCCAAACAGGACAGAATACAAAGTCAACCATGACACTAAAGCGGAGCAGCAGAGATATCTCTGAATTACAAATCATGTAGATTTCTGGGACAGCATCACTCATCAAAGTACTGCTTTCAAGTACTTCCTGAGACACCAAACAACCTCCAGGTTTGCATATATTGTTCATCATGCAGCTGGGCAAGCGATGCTGAAGAGGTGCTAGTCTAGAAGTTTCATAAATGTCTGGATACTCTGCCAATCACTGCACAAGAATCACTGAAGTACCAAGGTCTGAGAAAATTTTTGTCAACACCTAAGGTTGGTCCTAGTATGCAATATTCATTGTCATTTACTACTTCCAGTAATACAACATGGAATGCTATTTGTCATTTTCAGTTAAAGCAGAGGAAATTACAATCTGCTGTCTTGGTGCTGCTAGCTGCCTCAAGTTTTTAAACAGACCTAAAAAAAAATCACTACTATTTTCTTTGTCTTCTTATGGAACAGAAGTAAAATCTGTGAACTTATTCCAAACTATCCAAGTCAGGGCTCACTTCCCCTCATGATACTGCCTGGTGATAATGACTTCAGAGCTGCTATGTCCCAGAAGGAGCCATGACAGCTCCCACAACTTTAAGCACTGAACTCAAGAGAACATTTAGGTGATAATATACCAAAAAAATCCTATAGACAGTTCTACATGTGTCAATAAGGCCTGTTAAACAGACCTGCTGTGTCCACTGAAGTAAATATCCAATGGAAAGCACATTACAGTATTATAGAACTGTTCCCACTTAGTGCTGCATTCTGTATTCCTATACAGTGTTTCCTTGTCATTTCACTCTCTGTTCTTTCTCTCCTTCCCCTTTACAATAACCTGGCCCTTCCATATTGATGATTGCTCTCATCTTTTGTGCAGTAGCAGTTGCTCTCATCTTTTGTGCAGTAGCAGTTTCACTAATGAATACTTTTGGATCACAGTTATAGATAACCATATTAATTGTGTGTTAAATGACTGCAACAGCTACCCAGTGTTACAGGACACCTAAGTCCCAGATGTGATTGCATTAGAAAAGATGAAATGGCAATGCAGCCTGAAAACAGCCTAAGGCAGTGCATTACATTAGGATGTAAGCAGAGATAGTGATCTACAAAGAAACTTGGAAGTGTATTTATATTTTGTATAAAATACATATTTATACAAAAGTAGGCATTTGTATAAAATATAATTTGTATAAAACCGAAAGTATAAAGTATATTTGTTTGCATGTCAGCTAGGGCATAAAGGGCCGAGCAAATGGCACCTTCCGATGTTACTATAAGGGAGCTGGCTGGAAAGTTTCAGGGAGAGCATGCCGCTGCCTACTGGAAGGAGTGGGACATAACTCATGTTCCAAGCCACCATCACTGCTCTTAGGGATCAAAAATCTAAAGAGTTTGGGACGTGCCACGGAAGATGCCTTTGGGAGCAGCACAAGCGCGGGCAGGCAGCCCCGTTCGGGCGGGCGGGGGCGCGGGGCGGGCCGGGGGCTGCCGCGACAGCGCCAGGGGCGTGCGCCCCGCCCCTCGCCTCAGCGCTCGGCTCGGCTCCCTCCGCCCGCGGGAGACGACGAGACGCCCCCGGGCAGAGCGGCGCTGCCGGAGAGCCGCGGCACGGCTGGGAGGGAGTGCGACCGCCCCGGGACAGCGCGGGAGAGCGGGCGGAACTGCTGCCGCGGGCCGGAGCGGCGCCGCTTCGCCTCCTTCCTTCCTCGCCGGCTCGGCCTCCCCGGCCGTGCCGCCCCGCGGCGGGGGAGCGGCGGTGGGGCCGGTGCCCGCGGGGCGGAGCGGGGCGGGCGCGCAGGGGGCGGGCGGAGGCGGAGGGGGCGGGACTCACGTACTCTGCACCTGCAGGTCCATCTCGCGCATCTCGGTGAACCTGTCGCGCAGATCCATGGGAAGCTGCTCGATCACTGCGGGGACACGGGGGAGCGGGAGAGAGGGGGGAGGGAGGAGGGAGCCAGTCAGTCACTCGCTGCCGTGGGGGAGGGGGAGCGCCGCCTCCTCGCCGCGGCTTCCCCCGGCTCCCCCGCACCGGCCGTGCCCGGCCGCCCGGCGCCCCCGCCGCGCACACACTCACTCTCCAGATAGTCCTCCAGGTACAGCATGGCGGCGGCCGGGCCCGCGCCCAGGGGCTGCTCGAGAGCGGGCGCGCGTCCCTTCCAATATGGCGCCGCCGCCAACAACACCAGCACCTCGACTCAGCGAAAACAACATTGGCGGCGGACGGCGCTCGCCGCGGCCCCGCCGCGATTGGCTGCTCGCGCCGCTGACGCACACCGCGGCCCGCGCTCTGCCGCGAGGCCTCACGGGAAGCGTAGTCTGTGCTGGGCGAGCTGTGGGAGGCTGCGCGTCCTGCCCTGCGTTATCGTTCCGGCCGGTTCACGGTCCGGAGCCATTCCCGCGATCCTGGAGCGTTCTCGCTGTTCGGGGCCGTTCCCGCGGTGCTGGGGGCATTCCCGCCTCAACGGGGCCCGCACACTCTTGTCCCGGAGCAGCTTTGGGCCCTCCGGAGCGTCCCCGGCGCGACCGCAGAGCCTCCAGTCAGGCGAACGGCGAGGGAAAACTTGCAGCTTCTTGACCAGTCTCGAGGCTTTTGTTGGCGCCTTGTTGTTTTAAATGTTCGCAGCCGGCAGTAGTTCATTAAAAGCGTAAGAAACGGCAAAGCTAATGAATTTGCTTCAGTCCGTGATCTCTCACGGCACAAGATAAAAAAGCTGCTCCGTTCAGCGCAGGTCACAGGCACGGACAGCCTTAGGAGAGGAAAAACGAACGTGGGCTTTGGGATTGCTGCTCAGAGTGTAACCAAAATTGGCTGACAGCACTGACTGCCATCCAATTACAATACTCCTTGCGGTAATTCACTTTCACGTGTTTGGGACTGGGTTTTTTCACACTGTTTAATTCCCCCAAATAGTCTTTTTCATCACTCTTCTATTATAGTTATTTACTGCTTTAAGCATGGACTGCTGCATTTATCCAGTGTTTTTTGCCCAGGGAAAGAAAATGCTGGGGCTTGCATGATGCCAGGTGTAAGTATAGGAGCATAAGAATTATGGTAGCAGATCAGGTTTGCTTTCCACCGTGCTTTTTGTTTCTATGTCTTTAGCTGTGCCAGGTGTATCCAAGCAAAAAGGAAACGTATGCTTAAGCCAAGTATGAGTAAAACTTGCATGGGATGTTTTTGAGGGATAAGACCAATGGAAAGTGGTACTTCTCTCATGTCTGAAGTTCATGTATGGTGAGTAGTTACTTAAAGATGACTGAATTTTGGGAAGTGAAGCATACATTTTGTAAATAATGTGTTGGATACACGTGGTAGAGCAAGCAAGTTGAGGGGTTTTAATTCCTTTGCCATTGAAGATGGAGAATGAAGAAGGTTTAACAATAAACTCTCAATAACTTCAACTTCATGAAAAAAAATGCTGCATCAATGTGGTCACTTCCCATACTCACTCCATCATCAGCCATGTAGTCTGCACTGCCAAGCCAGAAATATCAACTACTCTCATACATAGAAATGAGAACAGATTTTAGATGGTCATAAGCACAGTTAGCCTTAGTGGAAATAATCTCTTATATTATTGCTTGTACAGATGTCTTTCCTGTAGAACTTCTGACTAGTGTGGGCATAACAGTATTTTTAGAGTTTTGTGTGGGAAATTACTTGGCCCAGTTTGGTATGTAAAACACAAGATTGACCCTTTGTGGGAAGGTAAATGCCTGCACTTACTGAAGTGAAAGGATTTGATGCAGCAAGAGAACTTAATCCATACAAAAGCACAGCAAAGTAATGATATCCTATATTCATTAGGAGAAAAGCTAGGTGAATTTAGGGGAAATCTGAATTGGTGGCATCACTTTCTTTTATGCTTAGTTGCAGCTTTAATGATTTTTAAAGAAAAAGAATAGTTTTCTATGTTTATGTTTGGGAGCAACAAATAAGAACAATACTATAAGCAAGACACCACTATTAGAACCACAATTGAAGTATGGTCACAGAGTAAGTCCCTACCATTTGCCTCATGACCAAAATCCCAAGATAGCACAGACATTGGGACATTGTGACTTCTCATCTTTACAAGCTTGGGTATAGCTAGCCAAAATCTCAATGAGGCCTGCTGTGCCCAGGTACTTTATGTGCATTGTGGTGCCCAGACCAAGGAGACCAAGGAACACAGCTCTAGGGGCTGTGTCTCAGCCGTGCCATCACTAATGGCGTGTGCCCTGTGTCTGCTGGTGAAACAGGAAAATGAAACCAGGCTATGCCAGCAGAATTACCAAGTGCTAGTGGGGCTGGCTGCTGCCTGCAAGGTGTGAGTTGCCCCTGTTAATGTGTAGTGATTTATTGTAATGTGAGAGTTTCTTATAGAAATAGAGACATGCTCAGAAAACTGTTCACTGTAGTGCTTTACAGTAAGGGATGGCAGGGGGTTGTGAGGTAAACTACAAAGGAAAATACAATTCAATGCGTTCACTATCTATTGAAAAGAAAACAGGAATTTATTTATCTACCTGGAGTCTTCTTTAGTATTTTTCAGACAAATGAAGCGGCTCATATTTTTCATTTCTGTCCATATTAATTCATGTTATATAGTCAAATGACTGGCCACACCAACTTCAGTAGGATTGCTTGTGTAAGTGCTGTTTATCATGACATACCAATGGCATACCAAACTGAGTTTAAGCTGACGTTTAAGAAGTGATAAGCCAAGAGGCCATAAAAAAGAAACTGTTTTTACATTAGAAAACTTCCTGTTGCTTATAAATGCAAAGAATTAACTCTATTGATTAGCTCAACTTTTAGAACAACCTAATTAGAACAGCTCCCGATAAGGAAACAGGGATTAATGACTGTTTATTGGAATGCAAATACAGTGAAAAAGAACTAAACACCAGCTGTGAACTCAAGGTAAAACATTCAATTTGTGAATTACAATCAACGTGTCTCAAAAAACTCCTTTGCAACTACAGAGCTGCTTAGCACAGGAAGTGAAGGGATGCCACAGGAGCTGCTGTTTTCTCCTGTTTATATAATGTTATTAATGTTGATGGCTTTTCTCCAGCAAATGTTTCACATAAATCATGTTTCATCACTGTGACGGAGTGATGGCACAAAGGAATATTACAGATGCCCTGTGATCTACCTAAAGCTAATTGCTTGCCTAGGTTTCATTAGTTTTCAACTGACAGGAAAAAAAAGCTGAAACATAAATTTATGTTCTGATGTGTGCTTCTCAGATGGGGGTTAAGGTTTTCAAATCTCCCTCTCCTGCATTTACCCATTCCATATCTCTATAATGCCCTTTTCTATTCTAATTGCTTCTGTCTATTCCCATGTGTAGAGCTGTTTGACACATCTAACACCCATCATTTCCATCTTTGTGTTGCAGCTGCTATCTGTTGATGCCACCCTTTCCTTCTTCCTTCCAAATCCATTCTATTATCTGAGTTGTATGATTGCTGGAGCTTTCTGTACCCATTCAGGACTGTCACAGTTTTTTATTTACTTCAGTACTCTGATTTTTAACTCTTGTCTAATACAGTCTTTCTGGACTTACAGTCCTTATGTTTTGTTTCTTTGTTTTCCAGAAGGACACATTTCTAATGATACCGTTTGAAAAAATCAGGAAAGACCTACCTAGCGCATCCCTAGATTGTTATTCCAGGTCTCAGCTGCTGCTGCTAGGTTCCTGTGCTTTGGTTTGTCACAAGGGAGCCTCCCTGCCTGTGGCACACAGAGGGTGCAGATGTGCATCTGTGTGTTTGTCAGGGCTCTCACAGAGCTCACAGAGTGACAGCTAAGTGGCATCCACCAGAGCCTACATAAAACTGCAAGCCTGGGTAGCTCTTAAACTACCAGAAAGGAGCAGTTTGCTGTTCTTTGGCACCTGCTGCTCTGCACTCCAGCAGTCCTGCATGGCAGGCCAGAATCCATTCACCACGGTGCGCTGCTGCCAGCATGTGCTGTGGATCACGGCATTCCCAGCGCTTCTGGCTGCCATTGGCACTGTCAGGCCTGCTGGTCTCCTCACATGCTTTCAGCTGTTTTATTGTAATTCCTCCTCACATCCTGTTTGTTGCCTGCTATTTTTCTGCTGTTGCAGCTGTTTTTTCCATTCTTTCCAGTCCACCCAGTTTTGCAGTCCAGCTGTCCCTCCCAGCTGCCATAGAGTCCACCATCTCCCAGATCCACCCTTTCTGCTGCTGCAGGGGCATCACCCACAGCTTCAGTCTCCCTCTGCAGGAAATAACTATCATTCCTGCTGCACTGCACACCATGGCTGTTGGAGGACATTACTTAAATAACTGAATTGTCTTGAGACTGAGCACGATGTAAGGATTACAGCATGATTGTATTTTTTCTGAGCAATCAACTTTATGTAATGGGAAACTCCATCCAAAGCTGGAGCTAGGAAAAAGCTGTGTCAGAGTTTTAAGTACATAATGTTACTCTGGTCTAGTGCAGCACTATGCAGGAACTTCACACTTCTGTGAAACAGTCCCTCAAAAGGGAAAATTTGGCCCAGAAATATTGTGCCTGGATGGTAATCTCTCTTGAGAAATCAGTTTCCTTTTCTGCTGATTACAAACTCTTGCATTCTGAGATTCACATTCCTGTTTCTGGAAGAAAATCCATGACCCCAGATAATTAATTTGCTTTAACAGTCAACAGGAAAATGGAACTGCCATTTATCTTTCAGCTTGACTTTGTGTACAGACTCAAGCAATTATATCTCCATCTTTTAGTTAATTTTATCTGCTACAGACTCAGTTAAATTTGCTTGCAGATTTCAGTTATTTCCTGAAAATCTGCAGGATGTGAGCAATTGCTGTTTATATATTAATCACTGAAATGTTTTATCCTGACTTCCTAAGGAAATAAAGCTTACATGAGCAATCCATATGTTTATGTGAATTTTCTTATCTGTTTTTTTTAATTTCCTTATTTATTTTCTTTCTTTATTTTCTTTATCTGTTTTTTCATTCTGCCCTGTCTCGATAGAATGGACTAATTTCAACCTAACTGAAAAAAAAAAAAAAGTTGTTATTTTAGAGATTAATTGTGTACTTATTAGATGCTTTCCTGCTCCTAATAGTTTTGGATATTTTTCTCCCTTTCACTGAGGAGAAGATTGCAGTATGAACCTTCCATGTATTAGACTCAAGAAAATCTGTTCAAAAGCCATGAGTACCCAAAACATAAAAAAATCTTCTGCTGATGAACATAACTTAGGCCCAAGGAACCAACATAAGCAGTTTTGGTACTCATAGAACATCCAAGTTTGTTTGCTTGATTTTCTTGCCATCCTGGATACTGAACTATATGGCAGTAAGTAAGAAAGTGATTATCTTAATGATTACTTAAACATTTTAAGTAAAATTTGACACTTCAAATGCCTTTAACTATTTATCTGTAATGAAAGACATTTCCTGCCTTTTTCTTTTCAGATTTATACAAGTATTTTTTCCATGAGGCCAGGACATGCTTGTGCCTGGAATTGGCTCATATCTACTAGTTTCCACAAAGAAATGCTATAAATTTCTGGTATGCCATGAATGGCACAAAAGAATGTGGGATATGACACCATCTATGCCCTGTTCTGATTAGAAAATGTGTCCTCTGAGAATTGAGGTCTGCAGATGGAGCAGGTAAAAAAGTAAAAGAGCTGAAAAGTCCTGTGCTCAGAGCACACATCTAGGAGATGACAATACAATTGTATTACTCTCCACTCAAATTTGTGCTCTTGTAGCCTTCTTTGTCGCTGAGGGAAATTCACAGAAGTTGCAAGTGGCAGCAGGGGAAGGAAATAACTGAGAAATCTGCCAAAATAATGGCATTATGACTGACTGAAGTAGCACAGCTGACCCAGGGGAGGATGCAGACATTGTGGACAGGCATGAATCTTCACTGCCTCTGGGCTTACAGCATCAGATACTTAAGTATTATCCAGGAATCACCTCTTTCATGGTTTCAAGAGTTGTGCAGAGACTGAGGCACTCGAGAAACTGGAGTTCAGACTCAGAGCAATTATAGGAAGGATAGTCCTTCAGACAGAAGGCAATACCCTAACTTCTTACCAGGGAGAGAAGATGTACTGCAATTTAGCATAAGAATGAGTCTACCTCTTTGGTTTGATAATGTAAAGCAAAACTTCGGGAAAAAAGGGGGAACAACCAAGTTCCTTGAAATTTTATCACCATATGTATTCAAGGTGGTAATAACATTGTAGCTGTGATGCTTTCCATGATACAGGCAAATGGTCTTTCTGGGGAAGCTAACTTAGATGCTAATTATTTTATTAAGATGTATACAATTGATGAAAATACAACTTGGAGAGCACAGAAGTTCCTCTCCTGTCCTATTGACTTCTGTTGTCTGATTTTTTAAACTTCCACATTATCTAAATGTACCTATTTTGGAAGTATTGCTTAGCATACAAATGAACTATTCCTTACTGGCTTGCATCAGCATACTTTAAAGCTGTTATGGTTTATTATTTTTGTTCTGAAATGCCAATTCATGGTCCCACATGTGGTGAGCCCTGTCATGTTAGTTCCTACATAAATACAGAATAAATGGTGATGACAGGCTAAGTTAATACCTGATTTGTTTTTCATCTCATGCATTGGAGGGGTAACATTACCATGTTTTTAGATGAGTTCTAAAGGTTTGAATCAGCACATACCATAATGATATAAGAAGTTGCCTCATTTTTGCATATATGCAAAAATCCCCAATATAAGCATCTACAAGGTTATTTGAAAATGCACTGTGAAAGCAGATAAGGTAGTAAGTGCCATTGCAGTCCATTTCAGAAGGATTGTTCTTCTTCCAAATTCTCAAACATCTCCATTTTTCTGATACTTTTTTTTCCAAAAGAGAAGTCTAAATCTTAAGCCTTCAATATTTTTTTAGTGCATGTGCAGAGTTTGCTTCTCTATGTGACAGTATTATATTTCAACAAAATATGAAAACAATTACACAGTCGCAGTCACTTTGGACTTTACTGCCATAATAATAGTTGCAATGAACAGCCTAGTTTCAGAGTAGCAAATGACAGGAATGCCACAGTTTTTCTAACATGAACAGAAGATCTTCTGAACAAAAGTGTTAATTTTGAGGAAGAGGTTCTAATTTAGAAATTTTTCACCTCTTGTTTTCATGAATGTTGCAGAACTATCAGGTCTTTTATATTTGCATGTTATATCTATTAAATTTGTTTGTATCCCAGAAGTTATAGAAATAAGGGCTTTACCAGAAAAAAATGTTACTTTGCAGGAGGCCACAAGCTGATTTTACAGAAACTCTGAGCTAATGTGACAAGGGAATGTATTTTTTAAAGGGAACAACTCCTTATTGATAATTATTTGTCAATAATTTATAAGGGAAGTACTAAAATCACTGCAATTTTTTA